ATTTCAACCGTTGGGAGAGCCTGAAACCGCAACTTTTGACTGTGTGTGAAAGGGGTGGGGGCCACCGTTTGAAAAAAACGGCTATATTAATGCTGGAAATTTGCTGGAAATCACCAGCAGACACACATGAAGAGATCTCTTTGTGACACACATGAAGAGATCTCTTCTATCATAGGAGAAAGTCTAGATGGGATCAAATCGAGTTCATGTTTGACCGAGCAAAGAGAGCATTGCAAGATAATGATGTCAACATGCACAAGTTGGTTCATCACATTAGTTTCGATGCATGTGGAGTGAACTGAATTTTAAGTTAGACTAATATGGATTTTATTGTTAAGATATCATTATTTAACTAGACAATAAATGTGTTTTTTAGGCATTTATTCTTCTGCACAATGTCACTAATACCTATAGACATAATTAACGAAAAATGCATCTCTTATCCATTCACTCCGTTAATGAACAAATCACGAATGTAATTTCTTTCAACTTGATTTGCAGTGAGAAACAAATACTCGGATTATTGAAATGAATGCCAAAGAGTCAACAGTAATAATGTACATGTAAAATGAGAATATTGTATCGTATCAGATATATGTTCGAGGCTTCAATCATTTTTTGGGGTCATAATCAATGAATATCTATTAAATGTTAAGACTTTTCAACAGGACCACACAACTCCAATGGAAGGAGTGTGAGTGAAATCCACATCTTAGCAATAAGTAGATTTGGTTTTTCAATAATCCAAGTGCTGTATACTGCTAAATATGGCATGCCAGTATAGCATGTCTTCTCTGCTCAAAAGATGATTTATAAGACATTTGTGTCATAAAAGTGAAAATGACAAATCAATACCAAAATACGGGTATAGAGGGACTATGAACCAGATTTTATGTAGGTTTTATTCTGTATATCATGTAATAAGAAACTTCAAAGTCTTATTGTTCCGAAGGAAAGCCTGTATCACAGCAGTATCTTAGATGCTGTCCAACAAGAAAACAACGAAGAAATTCAATATCCAAATTAACACTGAATGCTGCATCCAACAAAAACTTGACACTCCAAGAAGTTGAAACTCTTAAAGCCATTACAAACAAGTTCTACAACATATTCAAAGGGAAAGATTAAATTTGCCGACTGACTAGAACTGAAAGAACTTGAAAAGGGACTGGCAAAAAGATTCTCTTACATTTTATTAGATGAGGCAAGCAAATGAACCGCATCTGAATACATAGGTTGCTGCTTGGAACTAGAGGTGTCAAGACGGACGGGTCGACCATGACCCGTGAAAACCGGGACCGCGGACCTACCCGTGACCCGTGCGG